CAACCCACGGCAGTTAATAAAATTACCGAGAGCAGCTTCAAAAGGGAACGATGTTTGAAATGGGCAGCAATGAACTGCGGATTGTAGTGCTGTGGTTGCCAGGCAGCTACCCTCAGGCCCTCTCTTGTTACCTTGGTGATGTTTGAAAAGCTTACTTAAATACTCTTTGAGGTAGCAACCGAATTCTCCACATCCTTTTAGTGCAAGCTAATCTTGCTACTTCTTTTTCCTTGCTCACAATTCCACCCACTCTCCTAATCTTATGAAGCTGATGTACCTATAAGTGAGCCTTCAATGGCCAAGGCCATGTAATGATGTTGATTTGCCTATCCCAGGCAATTAATGGAAAGATAACTAGATGAATGAGAGGAAAGATCAAAACAAGTTTCTTAAAATCACAAATTGATTTATTTAGGGGATAATCCAGGGTTTGTTCCACTTAATGTAATGGAAAGGGCGTTGCCTTGCTAATCAGGAAGCTTGGTTAGTAGTTCTGATGCTCTGCTATTTAGCACTGTGATTTTAGTCATCATAGTACCTTCCTCTGGGCCTCAGTTTCTTTATTTGTAGTAAAAGAGGATTTAACTATAGGTGTATACATGTAAAAAATGGTCTGAAACAAAAATTTTGTGAAGCAATCCCTACTCTTGACATAGGTGATATACTCTAGTATTTTCTGTTCCATTCCTTTTCTTATTTTTAATTCTGGTTATGTTCCAATAAACTGACTTACTGACCTCATTAATGCTTCACAGCTTGCAGAATAATGAACTAAACCAAACCAAACCAAACCCACTGCCATGGAGTCGGATCCAATTCATAGCGACCCCTCCTTGGGTTTCCGAGGCGGTATCACTAAGGAAGTAGATTGCCCAACCTTCTTTCCAAGGAGGGGCTGGTGGGTTTGAACCACCAGCCTTCTGGTTAGCAGTCAAATGCCTTAGGCACTACGCCACCAGAGCTCCCAGTACTGAACTAACGAATATCTAATGGCTCCTTATAGTTCTTACATTCTGTGATTTTATGTTATGCACTTATCTACCTTTTAAAATAATAGTAACAATAGTAACAACATTTATTGATACTATGTGCAACAACAACATGTGCAAGGTACTATTTTAAGCACCCTGTTTGTATAAACTAAATTAATTTTCAACAACTATGAATACTTTCATTAGTCCAATTTTTAAAGGACTAAAGTAAAATCAATGTGATTAATATCTACACCAAATTTAATGGACTATCAAAATATATTTCATGATGTATGTCAAAATGTTTTGAATATCTTGGAACATTGCCATTTTATTTAAAAAAAAAAAAAAAGTATTATCTTGCCTGCTTTTTCCATTATAAGCTTAGGAGGATGCTATAACAAACCTTCCAAATCAATAATCTAATGATACTCATTACTGGTTCTAAAAGTCATTTTCCTTACTTATTCTATTACTCTGTAACTCCGATCCTAAAACAGCAGCTCCAAGCTCACCGCCGGTGAGGCGGATCCAACTCATAGCGATCCCTTCTTGGGTTTTCCGAGGCAGTATAATTACAGAAGTAGATTGCCCAATCTTCCTTCTGAGGAGTGGCTGATGGGTTTGAACCACCAGTCTTCTGGTTAGCAATCAAATGCCTTAGGCACTATACCACCAGAGCTCCTAAATAAATGTTAAGTGAGAGGTGTATACAAGATGATATAGGGAGGAGAAAGATCAATCTAGACCAAAATGATTGTTGTTGTTGTTGTTATTTGCCGTGGAGTCGGCCCCGACTCATAGCGACCCCTCCTTGGGTTTCCGAGGCAGTATCACTACGGAAGTAGGATTGCCCAACCTTCCTTCCGAGGAGTGGCTGGTGGGTTTGAACCGCCAGCCTTCTGGTTAGCAGTCAAGTGCCTTAGGCACTATGCTACCAGAGCTCCTAAAAAGGTTGCCTTGTCAGGAGTGGGACCAAAATGATAGGAGAGGCTTCAAAGAGGAAGTACATCTCAAGCTCAAGCATCATGCCACTCTGCTCAAAACAGAGGACAACTGACACCATTCTCTCTGACCTCATTGCCTGCCACTCTCCCTCTCATCCCACCACTCCAGCAAACAGACCTTTGCATTTCCTTGAAAATGTCAAGCACGCTTCTGTCTCGTGGAATCTACCTTTGTTTGTTGCCTGACTAAATTAGAATTAAAGACAAATTAGAATTATACACACACACACACACACACACATATGTTGTCTAAGAAAAAGGAAGACACAGAGAGGTGCAGAAGAGTTACAGATAACAAAGATAAACACTTTCAGGTACACAATACTGCATTATCAGTAATAACAAACATTGATCTACAGGTGGATACATAGGTAGACAGGCTGAATGATAAGCAAAAGGGAATAAGCTCATGACCATAGATAAGTCTGGCAGGCGATATTTCTACATATGTATTTGTATGTGCTATAAGAATGTTCACATACATAATAGAGCTAACAAGGGGCAAAGTTATGATAATGTCTTAGCCACAGCCAAATAGAACAAAGAAATTAAATATATATGTTGTTGTTATGTGCCGTTATATATATGTGTGTTGTATATATATATATGTTTGTGTGTGTCAAATGAATGAATCAGTTAAATATGAATAATGGCAGGTTCTTCAGTCCACACAATGAAAAGAAGCTTGAATAAGGAGTTTGACTACTGAACAGTGCCTGGCTTATAGTACCAACTCCGGCTTGTGGCGACCCCATGTGTGTTAGAGCAGAATTGTACTCCATACAGTGGCTCATAATAGGGGTTTCATGAGTAGGAAATAAAGAATGATAAAATAGGGAAATAAAATAGAATAATAAAATAAAGGGGGATTAATATAATAAAAATCAAAATAAGCCTATAACCATCTTTAGAAAGCATTCTTATGCCAGTTGCTACATTCTGTGTATAATGAGACACGTGGGTACATCTCATATATGTTTTATTCTTAATTCTGCCTATTTTTATCGTTTTTTTTTAAGTTTACATTCATTCTCCATATAAGGAGCCCTGGTGGTACAGTGGTTAGAACACTCAACTGTGGCTCAAACTCATCAGCCATTCTGCAGGAGAAAGATGTGGCAGTCTGCTTCTTTGAAGATTTACAACCTCAGAAACTCTATGGGGCAGTTCAACTTTTCCTTCTAGTTCAATTCCTTCTGAAATTCTGTATCCTAGCTGTATGTTAAGCCAGGTACTGTATAAAAAATAAATGCATTTTTACGAACCTTAATCTAATACTGGAGCCAAGCCAGTTCTACAATTTTCTTTTTTCATTTGCATTTAATCACCGATTCACCCACCCTTACACTCAGGGAGCCACGATTATGCTAATGATAATACTAATAGCTAACGATTATTGAGGTCTTTTTGTGTTAGGAACTGTCCTGAAGGCTGTGCATACATTATCTGATATTGTTCATACTACAGGAGACCCATGCTGTCTCATGTTAGTGTGTGTGTGTGTGTATTATATATATATATGTATGTATTAATCTTGTTTATCTTTGGAGTTTATTTGGTTACACAGAACACAAACCCTGATTCAACTATACAAGTATCTAGTTGTAAATAGTAATACTGTTTTAAAGCTTGCAATCTTAGATTCTCTGTAATTATCTTTTTAAAACTAATTTTATTTTGGTGTTGTTAAAAATATACATCAATTCAACAACCTCTACATGTATGATTCAGTGACACTAATTGCATTCTTAAAGCTATGGAACCATTCATCCCCTCCTTTTCCAAATTGTTCCTCCTTCACTAAAATAAGGTTTATAAGGTTTTCAGTACCCAATTCTTAACATAAACTCACTGCCCCCTAAGTTTCTTATCTACTCTTTTTGGAGTTGTCAACTTAATCCCGTTTAGATAGCTCCTGAAAAAAGCACAATGCTCGAGGTCAGATGCTCCTGTTTTAACCAACTCTAATTTAGTTTTCGAGAGCTCTGGTAACATAGTGGGATTTCTGGTGGCACAGTGCCTAAGGCATCTGACTGCTAACCAGAAGGCAGATGGTTCAAACCCACCAGCCACTGCCAGAAGGAAGGTTGGGCAGTCTACTTCTGTAATGATATCGCCTCGGAAACCCAAGGAGGGGTCGCTATGAGTCAGACCTGACTCCAAGGCAGTGGATTTTAAGGCATTTTAAAGCATC